CAGAAGCAGAACCACTATAATATATACTTAGTAAAAGAGGTGCACATGTGTGCATGCCTGTAGTCTCAGGCACCTAGGAGGAGGAGGCAGGAGGATCACTAGAACCGAGGAGATCAGAAACAACCTGGGTGAGACAGCAAACCCTTCTGTCAAAAATAAAGATAAGGCATACTTTAAAATTACTTAATAAATAGTACTAATTATTAGCACTAGCTAATAGGTATTACCACTAACTACTAGTGGATAGAAGAGGTATATCCAATGGAGACAAAAAAACATATATTTCATAAACATATACTTTGTTATATCCATAACACTACACACCAAGTACTTCAAATGGAATAAAATTTAAAATCAATGCAGAACTTAAGTATATACAACTCAGTGAAAGGGGGCTTGCCTAGTATAAGTGAAGCCCTGTGTTTGTTCACTAGTACTGAGAGAAAAAAAGATTTAAATGTAAAGCATAAACACAAATGAACTAAAAGAAAGTCTAGTAAGGTGAGTGTTAAGATTCACACTTATAAACCCACACTCCTGTGGAATAGTTAGGAGATCACATCAAAATCTGAGTCAGTGTTACTAGTAATCAACAAAATATAAAACACAGCTGGATCATTCTCCACCAATCACATTTGCAGGCCAGGCATGGTGATGCACACCTTTAATTCCAGCCCTCAGGAAGCAGAGGCAGGTCAATCTCTATGGGTTTGAGGTAAGACTGATCTACATACCAAGTTCTAGGACAGTCCAAATTATATGTCAAGACTTTGTCTCAATAAAAAAATTTAAAAGCAAAAGTTAAAATGAATGGGTCTGTCTAGGCATGGTAAGATTTTAGGAAACCAAAGGCTCTCATGTATTAATGTGAACAGTGAAGCGGAGAAGATCTCTACAAAAATAATCTGACAGTATTTAGCACACACACATTTTTATTTGTGAGTCTCTCAAATAACATAGTTACACACAAGTCACTGCTTGCTACAATTTTATCTTAAACAGACCAAAAAGTATATGAAGATATAGATGTGTGACTGCCTGTGTGTAAACTTACATAAATGAGTTTATTCATTCAAGCTTTATAATAAATTAGAAAATCTACATAGGAAATTAAAAACCCATTCAGACTAGCATGAGTTGAAGGCTAGCCTGTCTCAAACAACAACAACAACCAAGAGGGCTGGAAAGATGATTCACCAGAGGCCTGCTCTTGCAAAGGACAAATTTTGTTCCTAACACCCATGTCAGGTAGCTCACAACAGCGCCAGAAGTTCTCTTTCCTCTTCTGGCTTCTATGGGCAATTGCATACACGTGTACATATGTCCACGCAGACACACATACATATACAAAATTTAAATACATGTTCAAAAAATTCCTATTTTTCTAAAAATTCCTTAATAAAACTTCAAATGAGCAAACAACACAAGCTACTTAAATGAAAACATTGTATTTTTTTCTTCTATGACAGAATGTCTAGTTTAGACACACTTTCATTCAGAAAAAAAGATAATTAAAAATTACCTTCATCCCCAAAGTGGAGCAGACTAAGTCAATGATAGCACTAAGCTGGTTGCTATGGAAATACATGGCCACCAATAGCAACATCTCGCCAAAAGAAGCAGAGACACCTGATGTACTGTTAAAACAGAAAAAGAAACTATGAATCTCCACGGTGGGGATAACCCAGAAAGCTTTCTGACCCGAGTGAGCACAGGGCTGCATCCTTACCTCTCAAAGTACGCCTCTTCTTTGATCATCCAGCTGAGCCACACCACCATCAGCTGCTCCTGCTCCGGTGTGCTGCGGAGACACCACAGCCACACCCCATGAGCCAGCCAGCAACCGAGAACACAGTCTCACAGTCTGAAAGCATTTCCCCTTATTTCTAAAGACTTATTTACTCTTATTTTAAACATATGAGGAGTTTGCCTACATGTGTACATAAGTACCATGTGCATGCCTGGTGTCCTCGAATTCCCCGGAACTAGAATTACAGATGGATGCTGGGAACTGAACCCAGGTCTTCTGCAAGAGTACCAAGTGTTATTAACCATTGAGCCATCTCTCCAACCCTGAAGCTATTTTTCCTAGGAGTCATTTTTCTCCTCAGTTTTGAAATACAAACTCAAATTAATGGTTTGCTAAATTGGACCTCTGATTATAATTGAAATGAGACAATTCTAGAACTCAAAGATGAAGGCTTTGGTTTTATGAATCTGAACTGTCAAACCTCCACAAATCTTAGTAACTATATATTTGCAAGCTAGAGTGACATTCCTTCTTATTCCTTGGAAAAACAAAGATCTCTGGGGTTAAAATGTTAAAAGAACTATATAAGAACTGATCACTTACTTCACATAGGAAAAAAAAAATCTAGTGGTAAAACACAAGCATCAGCTGGGCCAGATTTGGTAGCTCAACCTTTAGTCCCAGCACTCAGGAGACAGAGGCAGGCAGATCTATGTGAGTTCAAGGCTAGCCTGGTCTACATAGTAAAAATTGTCTCAAAAAAAAAATTCCACCACACACGAAATAGAACAACAACAACAACAAAAAAAAACTTTAAGCATTTAAAAACCCCAAAACCAACTTATTAACAAATCTTTTTCTTCAAATTGGTGGCACACAACTTTAGTCCCAGCTCTTGAGAGGCAGAGGCAAGTGTATCTCTGTGAGTTTAAAGTTTGAGGCTAGCCTGGTTTACAGAGTGAGTTCCAGGACAGCCTCCAAAACAATACAGAGAAACCCTGTCTCGAAAAGAAAAAGAAAAAAAGAACAACACAGGTTTCACCATACATAAAAATGGTTATAAAAAATGTAAAGGTGCCGGGCGTTGGTGGCGCACGACTTTAATCCCAGCACTCGGGAGGCAGAGGCAGGCAGATCTCTGTGAGTTCGAGACCAGCCTGGTCTGCTGAGCGAGTTCCAGGACAGCCTCCAAAACAATACAGAGAAACCCTGTCTCAAAAAACCGAAAAAAAAAAAAAAAGTAAAGGTAGGGGCTGGAGAGATGGCTCAGAGGTTAAGAGCACTGACTATTCTTCCAAAGGTTCTGAGTTCAATTCCCAGCAACAACATGGTGGCTCACAACCATCTGTAATGAGATCTGGTGCCCTCTTCTGGCCTGCAGACATGCAGGCAGAATACCGTATGCATAATAAATAAATAAATAAATTTGTAAAGGTAATAACTTCTTTTTCAACTTTTCTTATCCATTTATTTATTTGTGGGGAGGGAGGTAAGTAGGTCTTGCCTTTCCTGTGAGAATCAGGGAATCCAATTCAGGTCATCAGGCTTGGTGGCTAGTGCCTTTACCCACTAAGACATCTCACCAGTCCAACAACAGTAATAACTTCTTTAAAACAATTATTAGATTTAAAACTAAAAGATACACTTTGACTTGGACTTGTGCAAAAATGTCATGGTTCCCTTCCACTTTACTGCAGGAAAATAAGTAAAACACAAAGCAACTAAACTGTGTTTTTCCTACTACTCCAAACAAAGAAAATTTAAAAGGTCATTTATTTATGTATGTATTTATTTATTGCATTAGTGTTTTATCTGCCTGCATGCTTGTGTAAGGCTGTCAGATCTTGGAGTTACAGACAGTTGTTAGCTGCCATGTGGTTGCTGGGAATTGAACCCAGGTCCTCTGGAAGAGCCGTCAGTGCTCTTAACCACTGAGCCATCTCTCCAGCCCTTGAAAAAGTCATTTACACTTATAAATTATAGTCAATAATGCTTCAACCATTCCACTAAAGCAGGAGTATGCTATATAGGAGGATGCCTTGAGGGCCGGCCAGACCCTGGTGGGACTCCCATCTGTGCAATTAATTACTCATAGTATGATCTTAGACACAAAACTTTTTTTCAAAGATTTATTTATTATGTATAGTGTTCTGTCTGCACGTATGTCTGCAGGCCAGAAGAAGGCACCAGATCAAATTACGGATGGCTGTGAGCCACCATTTGGTTCCTGGGAATTGAACTCAAGACCTCTGCAAGAACAACCAGTGCTCTTAACCACTGAGCCATCTCTCCAGCCCTTAGACACAAAACTTTATCCTCCTACCAACTAAGTATGGCACCACAGAATAATGAGGACTAGAGGTAATGGTTTACAAAGGCCTTGGAGAGGAAAAACGAGAAGCATATAGCTAACATTACTTTTTCTTTTTTTTTATTTTTGTTTTAGGGGTTTTTTTTGTTTGCTTGTTTGTTTTGTTTTGTTTCATTTGGGGGTGGGTTTCAAGACAGGGCCTCTCTGTGTAATAGTCCTGGCTGCCCTTGAACTAACAGAGATCCGCCTGCCTCTGCTTCCCTAGTGCTGGGATTAAAAGCATGTGCCACTACCGCCTGGCTAACATTACTTATTTTTTAATTTTACTAACCTTATACTTTCTTGAACAGCACTAAAATTACATTAAAAGAAATTTCTAGGCCAAAGAGAATGCTCAGGGAGCAAAGCGCCAGAGCTTGATCCCTGGGACCTGCGTGAGGAAGGAGAACTGACTACTATAAGTTTTTCTCTGATCTCAAGACACATGGATGGCACATGCATGTCCACACACATACACATGTACACACAATAAAAAACCTTTGGCAAGCCTGGCGTTGGTGGCGCACGCCTTTAATCCCAGCACTCGGGAGGCAGAGGCAGGCGGATCTCTGTGAGTTCGAGACCAGCCTGGACTACCAAGTGAGTTCCAGGACAGCCTCCAAAGCCACAGAGAAACCCTGTCTCGAAAAACCAAAAAAAAAAAAAAAACAAAAAAAAAAAAAAAAACTTTAGCAAAGGGGTTTTAGAGAATAGCAGTACCCCTTCAATGAAGCAGTGTCTACTATAAAGAAGAAACACTCAAAGACCAAACAATCACAATACTTGGGAGGTAGCAGCAGGAAGATTAGGAGTTGAAGGACAATCTCAACAATACAAATGGTTCCAGAAAAATAAAGGATGAAAGAACAAAGTGAGAACTCTTAGAAATTAAACACTGCCATGCTCACTTCAGCAGCACATATATTAAAATTGGAAAGATACACAGAAGATTAGCATGACATCTACACAATAATGACTTGAAAATTTGTGAAGTGTTCCATATTTTGGGGGACTTTTGAAGTTGGGTTGTACATTGATTTATGAGATGAACATGAGACTTTGGTGATAAGGAGTAAAAAGTTATGATTTAAAATGATGTTGTATTTAGGAATAAAAATGACAATAGATGGAGTTGTGATGACTAATCTCAATTTTTAACTTATGAAATCTAGAATACCTGGGAGGTGGGCCTTTGTGCATACGTCTAAGGTATTATCTTGAGTAAGTTGATGGAAGTGGGAAGGCCCACCTATTATAAGTGCATTATTCCTTAGGCTGCGGCAGCTGAGCTGCATACAAAGGACAGGGTGAGCAGAGTGTAAGGATTATGTGCTCTCTGCTTCTTGACTGTGAATGGAATGTGACCAGCTTCTTCAAGTTCCTGCTGCTGCTACTGTCACATACTGATGGACTACAACCATGTATTCTGAAGCAAAATAAACCCTTTCTACGAAAAAGAAAGTAAACACTGCACATGAAACAAAGGCTGAACAGCAAAACAGTTTCTTCCTGGAATGGTGAAAATATCCTGTAAGTAGATTATGGCAATGGTTGTATAACTATTAAAAGGATAAGAACATTGAATGGTAACTAAAGTGTATAACTATGTAAATTTTCTGATATGTTTTATGGCAGCTTTTTTAAAGCACAGAAAAAAGTATGGGATAAGAAAATTCCAAAATCATCTCTGAAAGAAGTCACACAAGAAGAAGTGTTAGAAAAAGAAAACCCAGGGAAGGACATCACCAACAAATTCATTGAAGAACAGTTCCCAGAACTAAAGAACATTCTAGTTGGATGTCTCATCACTGGGTGCTGAGAATGATGGGTCAATATGAACTTGGGCAGGATGTGGTGGTACATGTATAATACCAGAACTGGAGGATTAAGCAAGAGTACTGCAGAAAGGTCCATGCCAGCCAGAAAGACTGTCTCAAAAAAAACAAAAATCAAAACAAAACAAGCAAAAAAACACATTGAGAACCAACATTTTCACCCTGAAATCTCAAAACCATTTAAGAAAGATCTAACCCTACACATTTGCACAATGAAATATGACACCCAAAGGGACCAGGAATTGAGATGGTAGGCAATGACAACACACGAAGTTAGAAGACAACAGAACACACACTTTCAAAATCCTCAAAACAAATTACTTCCTGATTAGAATTCTACATTCCATCAAACCATTAGCCAAATGTCAGAATGGAGGCATTATCAGAAATCCACCCCAGCTCTGAAGAATTTGCCTCCCACAAGCCTGCTTTCTAAAGATGTGAATGAAGAACAATTTCTGCAGAACACTAGGTATAGAGGGATTAAGACAAGACTGGAGAAGACAACACTGTCCTGGGCAGTATTTCTGGGAAAGATCAAACAAATAGACTGTCTAATGAGTCAGATTAGGACCAGGGAGATTTAGCTACATTTTGTTTCTTTGTTGTACAGTTTTGTGTGTATGAGGGTTTTTTTGTTTGTTTGTTTGTTTATTTGTTTTGGTTTTTGGAGAGGGGTTTTTTTTTTTTGCTGTGTTTTATGTTGTTACTGGATTTTTGAGATAGGGTCTCACTATATAGCCCAGGCTAGCCTCAAACTCATGGCACTGCCATGGTCTCCCTTGGGCTGGGATGAGAAGCATGAATTACCACAACCAGCAAGATTTAGTTTTGCTGGTGATGGTAGTGGCGCACGCCTTTAATTCCAGCACATGGGAGGCGGAGGTAGGCAGATCCCTCTGAGTTAGAGGCCAGCCTGGTCTACAGAGCAAGTTCCTGGACACGCTCCAAAGCTACAGAGAAACCCTGTCTCAAAAAACAAAAACAAAACAAATTATAATAACTGTGTTAGGATAACAGAAGGAAAAGAAGAAAATTAAGATATATGGAGTATTTCCAGACAGAAAAACAAAAAGAACTAATTATCTTTGAAAATGGGAAATCAATTAGCTAATACCTAAAAGTATCAACTATGAAGTAGTGGGGCCAGTGAGATCACTCAAGGAGTAAAGGCATTTACCACCAACCTGATAACCAGGTACAGTTGAAGCCAATACAGTAGAAGAGAAGTTATTCCAGCAAATTATCCTTTGACCTCCACACATGCATCATAGCACTAGTACACAAACCACACTACACACACACACACACACACACACACACACACACACACCAAGGAACTAAACACAAAAATAAACAGGTAATAAAGATTTTTAAAACTTTTTAAACAATGTACTAGTAAGACCCCATATTACTCAAGAACTAAAAGATACCACCTCCAAGAAAGGAAAAGTAGGGAAGGAAAATTATTAGCCTACAAAAGCAATCTGACTCCTTTAAACAATGGATGGCATTCAAATGCTGACACCCTTCATTGAAGGAGACCATGATTGCCCATGCCTAGGCCAGTCTGTGGTAAACTTTTAATAACATGCTATATACCATTTCAGATGGCAGCACACATGCTAGGTGAACACACTAACTATACTACAGGCTTGCCCCTATACATACATTTTGATAAGTAGATAAAAGCACATCTTGAAAGAGTAGAGTGACTTAACAGTAAGGTACCTGACAAGTGTAGAAAAGGCCAGTAGCATACAGAAAGAGAGGGAAACAAATCGAACCCCAGCTGGTGTGGCAGGAGGGCGGCTGGTCATCAGCTGCAGCAACTGTTCAGCTTCTTCTTCAGTTGGTCTGAAAGTGAAACACAGGGAGGTTTTACATTTGCCCGTTTACCTACTTTTAGTTCAGGAAGGAAGCAAGTGAATTTTCCAACATTTTAACTCTTCAATTACAAACTTTTTCATGTCACTTACAAAAAATTACATTCATTTACCTATTGTGTGTGGGGGGGTATGGTGTGTGTGGAGTGTATGTGTATTGTGTTGTATGTATATGGTGTGTATGTGGTGTATGATACTACACATGAATGTATGGGTATTGGTGTCTATGAACACATGCAGGAAGGCACTCTGTCTTATTGTCTTGAGGCAAGAAGGGTCACTGAAGTAGAAACTAGCTGGTGCCACTATACTTGTTAACCAGAAAGCTCTTGGTCTTGGGACCCTCATATCTCTTCCCTCACAACAGTGAGGTGATAGGCATGTACAGCCATGCACAGCTTTTTAGATGAGAGCTGGGGATTCAAATGCAAGTCATCATGAATGCAGAGCAAGCATTCTTTTTCTTTTTCTTCTTTTTTTGAGACAGGGTGTAGTCCTGGCTGTCACAGAACTCACTCTGTAGACCAGGCTGGCCTCGAACTCACAGAGATCTACCTGCCTCTGCCTCTCAAGTGCTGGGATTAAAGGCATGTGCCACCACTGCCCAGCCAGAGCAAGCATTCCTTTTTTATTTTCTTTTTCTTGTTCCATATTCAGTTGGGCATTACCCTACACTTTACCCTATACTGAGCCACTGCCCTATACTTTCATTGTTATTGATCAATTCTCTCTTTCCAACTGTCTGCATTTTAATGGCATATGGATTTATCACTGAGAAATAGAAAACAGAATTACTTTGTCTTTGCAAAAAACAAATAGGATTCAGTGACCAACAGACTTTAAAGGCAGCAATAGCAGAGGTCACAGACATGACAAGCTCATGTTACTTATGTGTCCTGCAGAGCTCACAGCAGTTTATACTTTATAGAATTATGAGTTCTATTGTTTGTTTGTTTGGTTTTGGTTTTCCAAGACAGGGTTTCTCTGTGGCTTTAGAGGCTGTGCTGGAACTAGCTCTCGTAGACCAGGTTAGTCTCAAACTTACAGATTCACCCGCCTCTGCCTCCTGAGTGCTGGGATTAAAGTCATGCACCACCACCGCACAGCTAGGGGTATCTTTTTACACTGGTAAAAATCACAGGGTCCTTTACACTATGATTAAAAACTGACAAAGTATTCTCATCCCTCCAATATGTGCATAATTGTATTTGTAATCAGAAACTACATCAAAATATTCCTTAAGGCCTTAACACCTTTAATCTTGACAAGCTAGTAAAATTAAAAGCCTGAGCCTCTTAATAAAAGTCCTTTGGCTCACTTCTCTGAGATTAGAAACAAGAAGAAGATTAAAAAGGTAAAATATCAGATTGAGTACTTGAGTCCAGCAATCCCCATCAAGGCACAGTATAGACGTAAGAGTGCGCTGGCTTTCACAACATGCTCTTCCTTTAGCCCCGAATACACAGACACAGTGGGCTCCATCTCCACATCGGCTTCTTCTACAATACGAGTACTCCTCACTGTAGGAAGAATGCCCATCAACTCCAGAAGAAGCTGCCTCCTCATCTGCCAAAGGACAGAACCACTGGTCTCCCTTTTTCTCTGTAAGAAATGTGAATTGGCAAAAGAAAAGAGAATAGAGCATCTTCTAAATTAAAACTGAACAGATCTCAGCACCTGAGCACTTGCAGTTGACCCAACATGAAAAGACTGTCATAATTGTAGTTCCATTTTAATAAGTAGAGAAAACTCAAAATCTACTCATCTGCCCACACCCAATTTGCACTGATTGCAGAGGAAAAGCTAAACTGATGCAAACTGGGTTGTGAATAGGTATTTAAATAGTACTTTCATCTGGGTGTAGCAGTGTACTCCTGTAAATCTTAGTACTCTGGAGGCAGAGACAGGAGAGCTGCTAGAAGCCAGGCCAGTCTATGTAGCAAGTTCCAGTATAGTGAGAGCTATAGAACAAAAAGGAGATGGCTTAGGGGTTAAAAGCATCCACTGTTCTTGTAGAGGACCAGAGTTCAGTTCCCACTCCCACACTGGGACTTCCAACACATCAGGTAGTACAACAGCAGTACTTGGTGTCTGGAGAACCTGAAAGCCACAGCTCTAGCTCTCATGCTAGAATTATGTGCATCGTGGTGCATTAGTGAACCTCTTTGAACCTAGGTTCTGATTGACAAGGAAATAAACATTAGTATTACATACCTTTAAAGATACCATAATTAAGAGTTTATAAGTCTATAACCACCACCCCAGCCCCAGCTCTTCAGACAGGGT